TTAATTTTTTGAAAAAGAAAGTATTCAAATGGAAGTTTTGCATGATCTCTTTCTTTGGATGAATGAATCTAATTTAACATTGAATTAATACTAAATTGATATTAAATTCGTTAGATCACTATTATTAATCCAATTGAACTGTCATATCTTTAAATTTTTATGATTACCTCTAATAAAAACCTCAGATAAAATTTACACGGTCTACTTATATTAGGATATGCGAATTCAAGTTGCATATTCTGATGATATTGTACAAAATATCATATAGAAGCATAATTGTAAAAATATCCAATTAATTTGACTATGATTTAAGGCATTTCTGATGACGTGATAAAAACGTGACCAAAGTTCAAGATAATATTATTTTTAAAACAATTATAGTCGCAAAAACGTCACATAATCTAACAAAGTGTGTATTGTGTTAACATACTTTAGCGAAAATGTATAACATTTTTACACGATTGAAAAAATAAGGAATGTCCCATCTGCGTGTCAATTCCTGTATACTTTATAGCTTTGTGTCTCATTGTCTCATTTCCTTATTATTTGCATAATTGCATTTTTTTTTTGTAAAACTTACGAAGTTTATTATTTAAGAGAAATGTCGCATTGTCATGACATAAGCAATTCTTTATTGCAATACTTGACCTGAAATACATTAACAATGTAAATTACGATTGTCTTTGTTTTCATCAAGGTTTCCGTTTGTCTGTCAGCGTTTGTATTGAAATGACTTTTTTGACAACCTTCAAAATCATTATAATTAAACCAACAGTCAATCTTTCTGCTTTTTTAAACGATAGCATTGATAAAGAATTTTATGAACAATTTAATTTTTTTAAATAATTTAAACTTGCGACAAAAAAGCCTAAGTTAATATTCTCTAAAAGATTACTTTTTTTTAAACACATAATATTATCATCAATGTGTAATTGATAATTAAAATGTTGCAAATAATGTCGCTGCTATTTTTGTATGAAATGAGATGCTCTTTGATATAGAGCGTGATCACTTTTACAAATTGAAAGTTGTGCAGTACTTTGTACAAGCAGCTTATTATTCTCCAATTAATTAGATTCTGATTTGTAATTATAGCTCGATATGAGTACTTACTATATAACATATTTCTCAACTGAACATATCATTCTCATGCTTCAATCATATTATTGATCGTATTATCAAAAGCAATAATTTAAAGAATTAAAATATTCGCGACATTTGTTATTAAGAACTATAGATTTGACACGAAGATTCATATAAATTGTGAAACATAATTTCAAACTCTTGCTGATTACAGAAAATTGTATAACAAGATGATTAAATTTGATTAAAAAAATACTACATGCTGATAAATGTTGCTGGCGCATTTTTGCTCGCGCGTTTCCGGAATTAGATAAGATTAATTATAACCATTCATCAATCCGATTCCTCCAAGTGTCCAATTTCTAAAAGACGGCTAAGTCAATGACTTACTGCCAAAAACTAAGAAGGGCATATCGTCCCCTCGTTCTCCTATCATGAATATAAATACGAGGGTTCTTTGAGGCTCTTTGAGTTCATCCAGTCATTCATTCAGTCATTCATGATCAGTAACTGTCAGTTACAAAGTCAGTTAAATAGTTAGTCAGTGTACACCACCGGTTCCGCTGAAGTGCGTGAAGATGCTCCAAATCGATCGTAACATCTTATTAAGTCGGTTTCTCTCAATCGACTTCTTCGAGGGGTAACACTGATAGAGACAAATTGTGAGATATATCTATTCTTTTTTATTCGATTAAATTGTTTGTTTGATATATAATATATAAGAGAATTTATACTGTAAGTGTATTCATGCATCAGCATTTCATATGATTAATATGCTTTTATCAGAAATAAATGTTTCGAAATAAATGTTTTGGTAATATTGAACATAATTGAATGTTTCAATTATTATGCAATATACATTGACGTGAGATTGCTTTATAATTAATAGCTTTACACATGTAAAAACACATGTTTTGCAATCGGTCTTCAGATCATGTAACGAACTATCATCTTGTAGAATCAATTATTTGTGTTATACAAGAATAATTAGTACATTCCCGGATTCATAGGAAAAGATTATATTGTGAAATTATCTATTTCGCAAAGAAAATATTCTGGCTAAATAACTTGGAGCTTTTTGGAGCTAATTAATAGTTTAATTATAT